TTACAGACCTGCCGCTGATTATTCTTATGTATAGGATATTTATAAGACACTGTATCAGCTCCTGAGCACTTCTGTCTGTGGTGCGCCCAACCAAGACAGAGCCTCCGTGAGTTTCTCATGTGTATGTACATGCAGCATGAAGGACAGAAAAAGCTGTCAGTTACTTCACCTGGGACTGAAACTACAAAGCCAAGAAATTTGCCAAGGATCATAGAGCAGTGGCAGAACTGGAAATTAAAGCATACTTAAGCATCTCTTTTGGTTTGGGGAGGAACATGCTTTGAGGTTTTTTGATAGAAGCGCACTGTAGACGTATAAAGCATTGTTATTCCTAAGGCAGCATCTTTTGGTACATGATATCCAAAGAGTTTAAAGAAGTGAATTTTTCCACATATAAGTGCAATAATTCTAGGTACAACTGCACTCCCATTTAGCCCACCAGCTCACAGGCTGCAACATGACTGTACCCAGCAGAAGAGGAGCGCTCCTCACCTTGTCTTTATCCAAGAGAGCTCAAGGGTTAAGGCCTGGAATATGCAAGTTACAAAGCATGCTGTGCCTCATGTGTGGGAGTAAATGTCATATCCCACTGCACAGGGTATTTATAGAACAGCACTATTTGGGAAGTGAAACTTTTCAAGTTTTAGACCAGTTGCTTCAGGTTTAAGTTCTGAAGATCAAAACAGCTGAGAACCCCATTTCACACGTTCTGCCCTTCAGTTGGCTCTGGACACTGCAACGAAACATGTGGAGCCTGAATCTGGTCACCTTTCGTTTAAAGGCTCGAGTCTCTCCCACTTGCACTAGAGGACCATTTGCCTGAATCCCGCAGCTGACACATCAAACTTGGGGGCCCACAGAAGGACAGAGCACTGCTTTGTCAGGATTACCTCACTACCTGGTGAAGGAGCCGTTTCCATGCAGGAGGGAACGGTCCCAGTCCCAGAAGGGTCAGCCTCAGGGCTCCTGGGGGATGCTGTTCTGGCAGCCCAGCTTGGGGGACACCTCCAGTTATTCCACATGGGTGCTCCAGCACAGCTGCCCACAGCTGGATGACAGACTTCAGAGATGGAAGCAGGGGATCCTTATTTCAAGGAGTGACCTGGAACCAACAACAGCTGCTCTGGAAAAGCCAGCAGTAACCTAAGTCAACAGCTCCCATACCTCCTGTGCTGTGAGCTCAGCAGCACCCAAACTTCTAGAAAGGGACTGGGATGAGATAATGAAAGGGATTGGGATGAGATAACAGGGAGGGTGAGGAAGCTCAAGTGGTCAGAATTCTTTGTTAACATGGTGATGGGCCACAGGGACTGCAGGGTGAGGCGGAAGCTCAGTCAAGGTGGTATGAGCCAAGTCCCCTTGAACTGCCAGCAGCCTGCCTGGTTCGAATTCTTGCCCAACTCCCCATTTGTCACACGCTGCTCTTGGCTCACACATATGCAGCCAGCACCAAACTTGGAAGGAGGGACTGAAAATTCCAAGTTAAAAGCTTTTTTTGATCAGTGGTCCCTGGGTAGTTCACTATAATCAAGCCAGGCAGGAACAAAAAGGCCTTCTGTGAAACTGTCTGTGCTCTCTGAGCTGGAACTGTAATCACAGCACATGTGCTGAGAAGCAGGGCTCCGCATTATTGGGTCACCCAAAGGAAGGGCTGTGTGTATCTTGCACCAACTATTAAAGTAGCCACTTGAATTAACCCTCCAAACTGAGGAACTAATACACCCTGAGCAACATACATAAATAGGAACAGAGTTATATTTGCATTCGCTCTATTTGTACTCACTCTGATAACTGCTTGTGGGTTTTATTGCCGCAATAGAAACCAGAGCTTGATTGTACTTGTCCCTCTAAGTAAGGAAAGGACAGAGCAGAGGTCAGGCGGCCACTGCCTGTCTCTCAGTCTCGCCTCCACCAGCTGAGAGGTTTCTGCTTCGGTGGGTCGGACGCGCTGTGCTCCCATCCCACCCCAAGCACGCTTATTCTGCTGGAGAGTTGTCAGGAGAGCTCTGACAGATCAGTACGTGCTCATGTTTCTTCCAGTTAATGGGACTCTTCACATCTTCAAGCTATTACTGCATGTCATGAATGCTGCTTGCTTACTAGAGCAGTCATTATTACATTATTTACACTTCGTTCATGCTTTCAAGACATTCTTTACAGCTTCAAGGGTGACAAACTTCTCTGTCAGTAAGCTGATTGATACCATTGATTCATTTCACATAACTTAACCGCAAGACAAAAGCAGCAATCTGGGCTTTAGCTTGAACCTGGGCTTGTTATGAGTGCCACATGTGCTCCTCAAACTCATTACCACATACCTCCTGCCCACCATCTTCAGATAGCAGTTTCCATTTAAGTTACATTTTGTAAGTGTGGCTTGTTCAAAAAAAAAAAAAATCATAAAGTGAGTATTCAGGTCCATTGTACTGTCAAAAGATCTTTTTATATATATTTTCTTTCCATTGTGATAAAAATGTCAAGGTCATAAATACCTCGGAACACATTATTATATCACCTCAGCTACTCCAGCAAAAATAACCTGCAAATATCCCCTCAGATTTTTCAAAGGCAGAACTTTTATCAAATTACTTCAACTTCTGAAGAGCATTGCCATATTAAAAATTTTTCTAGTTCTTCATCTTGACCAACTGACACCACATATTTTTCTTATGCTCTTAACATCTGGAAAAGATGTGACTAGTCACTAGCACAATTCTCTGCAACTCTTTCCTTGCTTGAGGTTTTCCTAGTGCTTGGATGCAAAGATGATTTTTACTCAGGGGACACTGGACTGGGTGGATCCGGTTCTGTGACTAGAGCACGTAGTGTAAGGAACACAGGAAAACACAGCCCTATCCCTGCAGCTCAGTTTTCTCCATACACCCCACGCAGAGCTGACTACAGCTCAGTTCCTCCAGGAAGGACTGAAAGCCACCTGCAATTGCTGGCTGCTTCCTTGAGAAAACAGACCTGACACCATCCCCACTTCCAGTGTTTTCTGTTTCAATTTTAATCATTTCCAGAAGCATTGCAGTAGTATGCAGAATTGCCTCTTGACTATTAAGAGACCATGTTTGATAACAGCCTGCTGTGACTCTGGTTTTGTACTGTAACTGGGCAACAAGGGATTGTTTCTCAATTCTGTTTTGCCCTTTTTCCTTAGTAAAGGGCTCTCGTGATGGAAAAGCTCTCTCCAAACTATTTGACACGTCTGAGCAAGAGGCACCTGTATTGATCCAGTACATACCGAGGGTGAGGGATTTGGGGTTGCACTCTTGAAAGTTTCAAGACTGCTCAGAGCACTGCCACATGGTTATCACACAAAACCTATTTGCTGCTACCATGAGCTATCCTTCTGCATGGGGCAAAGCATGCTGTATGTCATACAAGGAGGCCAAATCCTGCAGAACTAAGCAAATATATTACTATTTTTGAGAGGTCCAAAATTACTACCTTTAAGATTATTTTCTGTGGCCCCCAGCCCCCCAAAACAAAGAACAGAAGTTACCCAAAGTGACCCTCACCATCAAAGCAAAGAATAATGCTGCTTACACAGGTTAGCATTGAGCATAAACTATCAGAATCACAGGGCCACTCAGGTTGGAAAAGACCTCTAAGTTCATCTAGTCCAACCTTTAACTTGGTGCAAATAAGTCCACCGCTAAACCATGCTACATCTACACATTTCTTGAAGACGTCCAGGGATGGTGACTCAACCTCTTCCTGGGCAGCCTGTTCCAATGCTGCACAACGCTTTCAGGAAGGAAATTTCCCCTAATAGCCAACCCAGATCTCCCCTAGCACCACTTGAGGTCACTCCCCCTCATCTTACCACTTCATAAAATTGATATCCCTCATGGCACAGTTTGGGTTGGAAAGGGCCTTAAAGCCCACCCAGTGCCACCCCCTGCCATGGGCAGGGCCCCCTCCCACCAGCCCTGGCTGCCCCCAGCCCCATCCAGCCTCACCTCAGGCACCTCCAGGGATGGGGCACACACAATTAAACAAACCCAAGATTATCACAAGCTCAAAGCACTGAGAAATAGCACGCCCACAGCAAGCTCTGCTGCAGGACGGTGACCCCCCCCTCCTCACAGACCTTCTCCTGGCACCTAACGGGCAGGAGCCAACAAAGCCTTAGGGTAACAAAGGAGCCCACAGCTCCCTCAGCCAAGCATAGCGAGGGATTTTACCACATAAGCAACCCCCAGGCCAGCCAGCCCACCTTAGGGCAGCCCCAAACTCCACACCCCACAGCCACACCCAGAGCTGGGACCGGGGCAGGAGAACACTTATTGAGGTCCGTTAAACAAAAATAGCAATAATAAACAACGACAGCCAGCAGCACCCCCTCTCCAAAGCCAAAGGGAGAAGAGAAGACCCGCTGCCAGCAGCCCCTCCCCGAGCAGCAAAGGGACCCCCTCAGCGCCCACCCGCCCCCTCCGCGGCCCGGGGCCGTTTAACGGTCACTGGGCGCACGCGCACCCTCCTCTTCCCCCCCCGCCGCCCCATTCCCATGGCGCATGCGCACCGCGCATCTCCCCCCCTTCCCGTGTAACCCGCCCCCCCCCCAAGCCCCGCGCACGCGCAGCGCGGCAGCGGCCCGAGGAAGCTGTGGGCGGGGCCGCTTTGCAGGAAGCCCCGCCCACTTCTGGGAAACCCGAGCCGCCCCCGGCCTCCCCGCCAAGCCGGGCGGGGGGCGTGGCCGGCGGGAGGCGGCGGGCGGTGGTTGGGCGCGGGAGGGCGGGGGCGGGAGCGGGGGCGCCGTCACGCGGGCGAGGGGAGCGCCGATTGGCTGGCGCCGCGGGGGGGGTGGAGCCGCGAGCCGGCCGCGCCTGTCAGTGTGCGGGAGCCGCCGACGGGGACGGAGGGGCCGTGCCGGGCCCCGCGCTCCGCGGTAGGTTGCCGGGGGAGGGAGCGGGGTGGCGCTGGGCGCTGCTCGGGTCCGGCTGGAGGCGGGGGCAGCGACCCTGGAAGCAGCCCCGGCAGGGCGGCGGGCACCGAGTCCGGAGCTCCCCGGTGCCCCCTGCTCTGCTCTGCCGGGGCTGCTCCCGGTTCGGCAAAATGGGGCCGGGTCCCTTAAACCCCGGGGCTGAATAAAAAGGGAATTACCCGCCCCTTGGCCCTTTTGTGGGGCAGGAGGTTGTGGTGCTGCTCTGGTGATGAATTGGTCGCCGCTGTGGTTGGGCTCGGTGCTTCCTGTCTGCCTGCTGGGGACGCGCGGGGGGCAGCACCCAGCAGCCCCCGAATTTCTTTCACCAGGTGTTTGTTCGTGCTCCTTCACGGGCAGGAGCTTGCACCTTCTGGGCCGTGACAGTAGCGATAAGAGCAACCGGGCCGGACTTTGAAATGCGTGTCTGGAGCGCGCCGCTTTATTGCCTTTTAACCACGTTAAAATCTGTTATTGGCACCGCCACCAGATTCCTTTGCAATGAGTCATTTGCTATTAACTATTAAATTTTAACTGTTAAAAGAGACCGAATCTTCGCACAGCATGCCGTGAAGAAGCGCTATAACAAGGGAGCCTGTGGCAAACAAAAACCTGAAGGCTTTGCAGGGCCTGAGCCGGCATCGCTGGGCTTGGCGAGCTCTGCCACTGTCCTGAACCCTGCTTCAGCGCTCACAGCAGTAACGGGCAGAGCTGAGCCCTTGCTGTGGCACTGATGTGGTCCCTAATTATCCCTCTGGCTGCTAACGGGAAGGAGCCAAGCGTGACCGTGCTGTCCCTGTAACTCGCCTCCTGCAACTTTTGAGGTCAGTGGCAAGCGCCAGGGAAACCTGGGAGAGCGGCAGGCTCTGAGGAAAAGGGACGTCGGTTTGCAGAGGGTCTGGAGGTGCTGGGGAAGAGGGGGTGTGAGGGAACCACGCCATCAGGAGGGTGTGTGGGGGACCAGGCGGAGGGCTCGGCACGTGGGGCTTGGAGCTGTAGGAAGCCGGGCTTTGCTCGTCACGTTTCAGCAACATCGGAGCACAGGGCACTGAAGAGGACAGAGCACGTCGTGTCGGAAAGGTGCTTCTTGCATGCTGTAGTTAAGATGGAATTTTGCTCAGGATGGGCAATTAGAATTTGCTGTGGTCAGTTCCTATTTCTACTTTATCGTATGATAATAATTAAATTCACAGGACTGATTGTAAATTAGGATTGCATAGAAATGCTTCTATGCTAAATTTGACAAAGCTTTGGGTTTTGTTTTTTTGCTTAACATTTCATCAATAGTGCCTTACATAGCACTACAATTATAGCCTTACATGACGTTTTTATAAATGTGCATTGAAGATTTCAAGCCACAAAGCATTTGTAATTGTAATAACTAGTAAAAACCTGGACCTGCTGACTCAGGCAGAATTGATTTTAATATACATCTGTGGTTAGTGCTGGAGGTTGTCCATCTAGGTGCTTCCTATACCTTCTTGCTGTAATTTAGGAAATAGCTTCACTCCACAAGTGGGTCTTCAAAACCAGGCTGTTGGTAAGTGGTGTCCTGAGTCTGCCAGGCCAGAGTTCGTTCGGATGCTTTCTGTAAGACTTGTTTGCAAAGCAGCTTGGAAAAATTGGGCACCTGAATGAATGAGAACGCAGTGATGTTTATAAACTCTGGGTAAATGGTGTTATTCTTATCTTTGTTTAAGAGCATGGAAAGAATTGTTAAGGGGTGAGCTGTTCTCAAGCTTGTACTCGAGGAAATGAAGATAGATGTGTTTAGATACTTACAGAAATTCTGCTGATGGTTAAACCCAGTCAAATATTTTTCCTGCAGACTTTGGAACCAAACTGTTGCAATATACTACTGTCTGGCAACTAAAAAGAAGTCGAGGCTCATTATCGTGCTGTTTACAGTAAGCAATATAAATGGCTGAAACGGGATTTTGAAATATTTACTATCCAACCACTTTAAAGAATATGTTGACATATTTATTATCGTTTGTAACATAACTTAAACATAACGCTGATAGTGAAATCCTTCAGACCGAGAGTTCTGTGGTGGTTTGGCTTTACCTGGTGGCCTTCAGGTGCAGGTGTATGCTGCAGCACCTGGCAGCACGTGGGACACCGAGAGGATCCAGGCAGGTTGTCTGGAAGCCTGCTGGACAGGCAAAAAGATAACGCTGTGTAGAGCAAGAGGAGGGAAAGGCTGTGAGCATCCTGGAATAGTAACTGCTGCTCTGACTCACCAGCAGTTTAATCAGCCAGACGCTTTATTTATTTTTGCTTTGGAACTCTTAAATACTTGAAGTAAGTCTTTTCCTCTTAAACATATTACCTTACAGTGGCATTAAGTGTGTTTTAAGATAGGGGTGTGTGTTGATTACTACAACTTTTTTCTTTTAGTCCCTTCTGAGACAAATTGAAACCTCTCCCTTGCTGACAGCACTGAGCTTGTTTAAATAACAACCCCAGGCCCATGCTACAATAATATGCCTTAAACTGACACAGCCAAAAACGGAACTGTCTTAATTTCAGTTCCATCTGAAACGTGGCAGGCAAGGAAGCTCATCTGCAGCATCCGAGAAGAGACAGACAGCAGCGAGGAGGCAAGAACGAATGGAAGTGGTACCTCGGGTGCCAGAGTGTTGTGCGTGTTTCCACTCCTCAGGTCCCAAACCAGATCTTTAGCGTGATTCATTTTATTAACAAGCGTCATCTATTCTTCTTTTTTCCCCAGTGAAAACTGTTTTTTGGTAAGGCGCGATGTCTTTGACCGATGATTTTGTAGCTAATACTCCAGACGGATCTTTTTGGTTGCGGACTTTGCTTGTTCTTGACTAACCATAGCTCTGCCAGCAGGTGTTGGGACTTGCAGGTCCCTGTTTGGTGCATGCTTTTTCTTTTCAGTTGCTGTTCCCTGCTCCAGTGATACATGAATTCCTTGCTCTACCTTGCTGTTGCTTTGTGGTAGTGGTCAGCAATGCAACATGGTTTAAAATGCTAGTTGTGTTGTTTTAATAAACCAATAGCAACTGCAAAAGAGAGGATTAGCCTAAGTTAATATATTGTTCATCAAACTCTTCTCAGTAAGGAAGTGGGAAACCTCACTGAGACAACTTGATTTTTTTTTAAAACTAAATGTCAATGTGAAACTGCTGCTGAACGTTCACACTCAGACTAGGAGAAGAAATCTACGTACTTAGAAGCTGACCTATGAGGTCTAATGCATATTTTAAAGCTCTTTCCCAAATTCTTTTTAAAACTATAACAAAATGTTAACTGAAATTCTCCAAAAAGCTGTTGGCAAGGAAGATTTGACTGATGCAGACCAAGCAGGATTGCGTATTATGGTGTGCTGCAGAGTGCTTTAGAGCTGAAGAGGTGTTTGTGTTATTTTTTTTCACCTGTGAGCCTTTCTATGTAGAGCATAACTTCATGAAACACAGAAATGTACTTCTAAGGTCCCTGCTACAAACAGCTTCCAGCAGAAGGGCCAGTGTTGAGGTGGAGGAGCCAAAGAGGGTGAATGGGGACTTGGTTATGGACAGGCAGGGGAGGGAGGAGACTTTAAAGGAGCAGAAAATGTATGGTTCTCTCGTGCATTAATATTGCTGAGCGTCTCCTTCGTTCTGAGTCCGTACAGGCCTCGGGTGGCCTCAGCCAGGACACCAGTTTCTCACAGGCAGTGCTGGAGGGAGGAGCTGCCACTGCCATCGGGCTGGTGCCTCCACAACACAACTGATACCGTGTTTGGCTTTCATTCTGTAAAAATGCACTTTCTTTTTTACAGCAGTGAGAACTGACATTAGTTAATGAGATGCGAGCTTAAATCTTAGTGAAGTTAAGGAGCAAGGGGCCTTTCACACGGCCAGCAAAAGCCCTTTGTGGGCTGGGGGCGCAGTGTTCACGTTTATCGGCTGTATCATTACCTGACTTCTCCTTTCTTTTCTCCTTGAAAATAACGAGCCCGTACACATGTCTACAGAAGGAAGGAAGTTGGGGAGATTGAAAACAAAAGTCACAGTTGAGTCTCAGTGACTTGGATGAGTGAGACAAGGCCTTGAAAACCAGAGAGGCGATTCTGGGGCACGAGGCAGAGGCGACCCCCCCGGCCCAGCAGCGAGGCTCCCGGTGCTGCACATCTGTAGCCCGTACAGGAAACCCTGCTCATCCTGGGTGGTGGCGAGTTCACAGGCAGCCGAAACCACAGCTCCAGCGTGTCTCTTGTTGGGCAAATCCCGTTCTTAATGGTCTTGCCGAGGAACCTGGGTACCCACTCACTGCATTGAAAGCTCCTGCCTGGAGCTGCACTGCGCAGAGCTACACCTGTGGGGCTGGGCACGGGGACCGAGTGCCCATGTCCGAATTGTTGGGGTTTATCTCTGCAGGTTGCACAGCCATGAGCCTCGCCTGTTTGGTTCTGAATATGTAGCTTCGAGAGAAGTTATGCTTCAATAATTTATTTACAAGTTCTGGTTTGGTTTTCATCCCAACTTCTGCCAAGTGCTGTGCTGTACCATCAGAACAGCTGGGTTTTTGGTCCTTCCAGGGTCCTGCAGACTGCATGGCAATGGTTAAACCGGGCTGGGCGTGCAGCTTCTGTGCCTACACAGGCTTGCAGACCTGAGTCACACATTAAACTGTCTGAGCACCGGCTGTTGCTTACACTAGCTACCTCCTATTTTTTTCAGTCGTTGGGTGAGCTATGTACTTTGTTGACTTTAATCTTGGTGAAGTTTCCTTGTTATTCTTTTCCATTTCAGAGGGTGGCAAGGACTTGCAATTTTGTTTCTCCCCTCCCTCTGCTGTCTTTTAACTAAGCTGAGGAGTGATTTGGAGGATTACACGTTTTCAGAGATGGGGATGGGTTTGCACTGCGATCTTTGAAGGTCCTTGAAGGTGAGGGGAGGTTAAGGAGGGACAGAGTTAATGCAAATCAGGAGAGAGTGAGTGTAAAAATAGCTCTGAACTTGTCAGTTTGCTCACTGGTGGCTTGGTTAGTCATCTGGCAGGCTGGCTTTCTGCTGCTCCAAGGGATTATTTTACAGCACTGAGATTTGACATAATTTCTGTAGAGAAGAGGGAGAGGGATGGGTGTAATGAGTGGGATACTGTCATCAGCACTTCTTTTGCACAGCAGCTGTTCTCTGTTTAGCCGCTGAATGTGGTCATTGTTGACTTTCCTTGTATACCTGCCAGGTTGTTAGGTGACTCATTTACAAATCACACCAAGGTTTGTGCACTTGGCTCCCAGGCCATTCCCTTCCCCTTCCCTCGGTGGCCCTGTAGGCACTGAGCTCCCACTGGTGCTGCATTTGTCACCATCCAGTGACAAAGAGCCTGTCTGGGTGAATGTCTTGTTGCCCCAGGCAGCTGTTCAGGGGAAAAAGGGGAAAGAAAAAAAAAAAAGACAAGAAACTCTGTGGTGTAGATTTGAACTGACGAGCCTCAAAGACCTGCTCCTGTAATAGTTCTGTGATCTTGTTTTGGTTGGCCTTTGTTCAAAAGTCCCAGCTTCTCATCTCATATTGGGTTTGTGGTAGTTAACACCTGTTAAGGTTTCTGAATTTCCATGGGTTGTTTAATGATGGAAATGGTCATTTTAAGACTTTACACTTGAACCGTGGGAGAACAGAAGAAGGAAGCAACCTGGGTGGTTAAGGGGTGATCAAGCATGCTCTGGTTTCTGGGTTAAACTCTGGCTTCTGGGTTAAAAGAAAGCTGCTGTGGCTTAGCTTTTCCAGAATCCAGCCTGGGGATAGCGGGGGCCAAACCAAAGCTGTGTTTGTGCTCCCTGCTCAGCCCCCTCCCTGCCGTGCTGCTCAGCTATGGAGCTGCTCCCTGCCAGCATCTTCTCCAGCACCGACTCACGTTGGTCCAACAGGCTGCAAGAGCCTTTCTTTTCTCAGACTCGTTTGTGGTTGACCAAGGATTTCAGAAGTTATTGGCAATTAAGGGGAAGGAAGGTGGAGAGGGAGGAGTTGTGTACGGGCAGGCTCGTTGCCTAACCTTTTTCATTGGAAGGAAAAATGGGAAATGGATTCCAGGGCAACTGAGTACAAGGAGGAAAGCAATTAACAGGATTTTATGACCATTTTGTGTGCTGCTAGGGGCTTATTGTAATTTCTCCTAGTACACTCTAGGAGAAAATCTCCCATGTCTTTGCTTCTTTTTTTTTTTTTTTTTTTAAATGTATATTCTTCCTGTTTAGTGATACAAGAGTTCCCTCTACTATATGGTTTCATAGTTTGCATTTAAGCTGAGGGAATATACCAAAAAATAAACTTCCCTTTGAAGCTTGTATAGCCTCATGGTTTTAGTACTGAAAATAACATTGACTCTTCAGATCTTCAGTGGTACAAGTCAGGGATGGAGCACTGGCAGTCTTGGGTTCATTTTCGGTTCTGTGCTCAGAGGTTGGGCAGGACCTTGGTTTGGTCTGCATTGTGTGTTAATTCGATACCTGCAGCAGGCTCCTGTTTCTCTTGAACCTGAAGCTGCTTCTGCCTGTGAAGTTAATAATTTTGACAAGTGTTTTGCTTTGTTTCTTTTTGTTCTCAACCAGTGACTCTCTGAACCTGTGAAATGGCAGTGATGGGAATTACGTGCCAAGGAGCTCCTGATCCAACTGTCAAGCATAAGAAGGAGCTCACAGCTACAAAGGGACTGAACAAGACAGTGAGTGAAAAGCAAAGTAGTGTTTGCAAAGTAGAAGATTCGAAGAAGGGCATCTTTCATAGTCAGTGGAAAATCCTGAATGATGTAATCACCAAAGGAACTGCAAAAGAAGAAACAGAAGGAGGCTGTGCATCAATTTCTATTATTGCCCAAGCAGAATGTAAGTAGCAGGGAGGTTTGCTGTTCATTGAGAAAAAGGAATGTGTAACGCGGTGTGAGATTTCACTCGCTTTGCACTCCTGGAGAGTTGAGCTGAAATCTATTTGTAATCCCATATGGGGTGGAGTTGATGACACATCCCAGTCTCTATTTAGGAAGCTCATGAAATCTCTTAATAATGTAGCAGCATCCACTGAATAAAGCAGAAAGACCAGCATGTGGCTGTTGCACCTAGCTTTGTTGACTAGAAATCTATGTCCTTCATTTGTTCTTGGCTGACTTCTGAAGGGTGTTCTTAAAATAAATAAATAAATAAATAAATAATGATGATAATAATAAAGGCTTTTGGGTGGGAAATAGCTGGGGGATCAGGAGATCACACTGCTGGGGAGCTATATCATTCCAGGGAAGAAGGGATGTACTGCAGGCAGTGTGGCGCACCTGTGTGATGATTTGTCTAGATCACTGTTTGGTTTAGCAAGTTGGGAAAGGTGTTTCTTAGTTCGGTAGTTAACAGTAGAGGGCTTGCATGATACTGAAGATGTGTGATGATCCTGTTTTCTTTCACACAGGTGAAAACAGTCAGGAATTCAGCCCCACTTTATCAGAGAGATCTTTTATTGCTCATACTAAACGTTACAGGTGAGAGATCTCTTAACTTGAACACCCACCTTCACTGTTGTGTGTGTTACCTTGTCCAAATCACACTGGCTCTGTGTGCTTTCATTTATGTTTCTAAAAGAGACCCTATCTGGATTGGCTTTAGTGTCTGAGGCTTGGGAGGAGCATGTCTTTCCTGAAGTGTCTTCCTCAAAGCCTTTCTTTATATATTTGAAGAAAATATAAGTTTAAGCACAAACTACTCAAAAAGCCTTGCAGTGTCTCATTGTCAATGCCAGCTGGTTTACTGGCCTTTGTAGTTTTCTGCCACTTTATCCAGGTTCTCAAATTTGTTTTGAAATCATGGAGTGTTTTTGAGGTTCATGGGCTTGAAGTAGAAGGATTCAAGGGACAGTTTTGGTCTTTTTTAACTGAACAGCACTGATGCTTTTGAAACTTCGTTACACCATCCTCTTTAAAAAGTTGTGGGAAGATTAGACTACTGCTGGGAGTTTTCATAAGAAAAAGGAACTGCTGCTTTTCTGGGGAGGATAAACAAAAGAGGATGAGAGAAGAGCTTTTGCTTAGTAACAGCATCAGCAACGGAGTTTTGAAGAGAAGCTGAAACAGATAAAAGGGGAGTAACCATTGCAAGAGAAAAATGGAGGTCTCTGGGACTTGCTTTTCTAAAGTCATCTGGGCATGAGCTGCTTTTTCTTCCATACGTGCCTATTAGGGAACAAGCTGTAGCTTTATTAAGCCCCAGCGCTCTCTTAAGTGGGTAACTGGGATATAGAATTAGGTTCTGCCTGTTCTCTGGAAGTTTTCAGACACTGAATCTGGCCTTGTGGGTTACATGGTTTGACACAGCACACTGACTTTGACATTGTCCCACGAACCATCTGAAAAAATGCAGTGTGAACCATTTCTTAGGGGTTTGATGTGGAATGCACATCAGGAGTATGTTCAGGTTGAAGGCAATGTGGTAATATCAGCACCCAGGCCTCTAGTTATGGGATCTGTTAGCATTCAGTGGTGCACTGAGACAGTAGAAAAGATGGAGAGAGCAATGGTGGCTGTGAGCTGCATCGCTGTTTAATAAAAACAAATGAATATACCACACGGATTAAAAGAACAATAATAATTTCTTCATTTGGAGATCAAATATCCTGTTTTCTCTTACAATTCAATTAAAAAAAAATCCAACTACCATGATTGCTATTGAATACCTGTGGGCAAATTTTCCTTCTGAGAACTGCATCTATTTCTATAAGCCCTCAGCTGTTATTCTGACCAGTGCTGTTTTATACACACATGCACACACACACTGCTAGAAATGTTATTGTAGTATTACAATAATTAAGCTTTACATGCTAGAATTTTTTAGCTTTTTGTAGCTGTTCCATTTTAGTGCCCTTCATCACCCTTTTTCTCTGCTGCAAAACCTATTTTTCTCTCAAATAGAGAAGATATTTATATTATGAGCACTTTTGTTCATTTTAACAAATATTTAAATATTATGTTTATACTTAATCTCTGTGTTCACTATAAAACATACACATAAACTGTCTCAGAGCAACCTGGAGACATTCGGTGCTTTTTGCTGTCTGCATTGCCCCTTAGTCTTGCTGTTCCTTGCAGAATTTGCAAAAACTGTGAGCCTTAATGCTTTGCTTCCATCCCCACACCCGGTATTTCTTCCTTGCAATGCCAGATATACTGCTGTGCCTTGATTCTGAAGTTACAATTGCTACATATTAGAAGGCAAGAAGCTATGTTACAGTTCTCTATTCCTGACATCTCAGAAGGCAGAATTGCTATTTCTTGTTCTTGTTCCATCGGTCGTAATTGTTAACTGAGGGTGTGCTTTCACCATCAGATCTAAGAGACTTCATGCATTTTGGTTTCCAATAGCCGCTCAGACAGTCTTGATCAAATCCCCAACAATGTGGCCCACGCAACAGAGGGGAAAATGGCACCTACCTGTTGGAGAGGGAGGCATCGTGGTAAAACAAGAAAGAAACGTCACAAGAAACGATCCAAGCTGAAAATACAAACAGTGGCTGCTGGCAGGCGAGGTCCCAGAACTCCAGAACAAGAGAGCTGCACCCCAATTCCAGTCCAGGTGAGAATCCTTAGACCTTCCTCTTGCAGGGGTGGGACCCCTGCAAGCTCCTAACAATTTTTCTTCGAATTTTGGGTAGCTATAATGAGTTTACTCCCCAGCTGTTCTGGTTTGTTTTCTAGGAGGATGAAACACACCAAAGTACTCTTCTCAGAAACAATTTTTGGTTGTCAGAACTTAACAAGGATTTGATTTATGATCCGCTGCCATTTGAGAAACCTGAGAAAGTTCTGTCCACAGGCAAACTCCATTTACCAAAGAGCCAATACAAAACAGAACTGCACAAGCTGATAAGCCCTGTTCAGTGCCTTAATCACGTGTGGAAACTGCACTATCAAAGGGACAGTGTTCCACAGCCTGAAACTCTCCATCCCCTTCCATACAACATTATACCCCCTCATTTCCCACATCTGGACAGTCCTCTCCATCACAAGAAACTGAATGCTCTGGAGACATATTTCCATGGCAATCTCAACTATCAAGACAGTGAGCATCGCTTATCTGGGCTAAACTTGGAATATAGTTTCCCCAACTGCGTCAACCAGTCCATGCAAAACAGTTCGGACAAGATTTCTGTGGAAGAATACTTGGTAGACGCCTTGAAGGGGAGTGTGAGTCTCGGTGAACCACAAAATTTAGCCAGCCTAGCCAAGACGTGGAGAGGAGGCGGTCTGGACCTGAAGGAACAATTTCAAAGAGCAGATGAAAACGAAGGCGTGCTACTTACCGAGGTGATCTTCTGATCCTACATACTAGTGTTGTGGTAGGCAGAGCTTCTCTTGGGCTTCAGAAGAGAGAGAACCTATATCCATGTATTGGCTTCTGTAACATGACCGTGTTTTCTGTGTGGGTATTGATATGGTTGAACACTGTCAGTTAGAGGTAGATGCGACATTGTTATCTGAAGGACATAAAGCCCTGTCTTATATTGGTGTCTCTGATTTGTTCACTCATTCACAAAATATGCATGCTTATTTATGAGAAGTATTTCTCTGCATAGTCAGTCTTCAAAAACATCTTCTCTGTCTGTGAAAGAACCCAGTTCACTGAGGTGAACAGACAGCAATATTTTATTGGCTATGGTTCACCTGGATTGTGACACAGACAGAAAAAGGTACCAGGGACCTACAGATTGCAAAAAACGTGTCTGCTGCCTGTGGTGGTAAACGAGTAAGTTACCCACTATCCCTTGCCAAACACAGGACATGAGGACTACAAATGCATGAAAATCGTACAGGCATGATTTATCTCTTATGAGTTCAGATCTTAGCCAGCTCCTTAAACTCCTGTTAGAGCACTCTTCACTGGAATCAGTGATGACCCTGTCAGTACAGTCAGGGGAGTTCAGGGTGTTGCTTACCTGCCTGAATATGTTTACGTTGAGATGTAAAGCACAATCTCAGTCAAGTGAATATAAAAAATGTGTAGTTCACACATAGATGCCTCAATTTAGTCAGATTAACCTTGTTTTGTTTGTAGAATTTATCTTCATCTTCACAGTCTTGCAGGTGAAAGGAATAGTTTGGAGCTCCAAAACTATCCAAACACGGGTGGTCTTTCTTTATGACAAAGATGAATGGTCATTTAGGTGAAATAGGGCGCACACAAAAATCTGTCAGGTCCTCCCATATTGTGTCATCTCAAGCCGGTGACAGAAGTAATTTTGTTCATGGATTTTTAAAGAGTTATGGTATTATGTGTTTCCTTGCTTGCTTCATCTTGTTTCCTGATTTTTATCCCCTAGAAACTAAAGCCAGTGGATTACGAGTACCGAGAAGAAGTTCATTGGACCAAGTGTCATGGTTCCTTGGGCATTGGCTCTTTTGGAGAAGTATACAAAATAGAGGACAAGCAGACAGGATTTCAGTGTGCTGCCAAAAAGGTAATCTATGTGTGAGAAAGGGGGAGTTGTCTGATATAAGAAGACATAGGAGATGTGTACTGGATGTTAGGAAGAGTTTCTTCACAGAAGGGATCGTTAGGCATTGAACAGGCTGCCCAGGGAAGTGGTGGAGTTGCCATCCCGGGAGGTATTTAAGAAACGTGGATGTAGCGCTTCGGGATGTGGTCTGGCAGTGGACATGGTAGTGTTACATGGCTTGGAGGATTGTACCTGATAATATTAAGGGTCTTTTCCAACCTAAATGATTCCATAATTCTGTAAAGAGCAAGTGTCTTCTAATTCCACAGACTGTACAGTCACAGTGCAGTGGTTATGTCCAAGGGAAAGCTTCAAGGTGGTGGCATGGAGAGAAGCAGCAGACAGAGGTGTGCATAGTAGGGCAAGCTTAGCAATAAGAAATAGGCTTATTTGGCTTCAAAGTGTGTTAAAGGTATCTTGGTTTTTGCACTAAGACAGGCCAAAAGAGTAGAGATTTCAGGAAGATCTTAAGTGTGTTCTTAGTGTCTGCAGAAGGAAAAAAAACAGCTCCGAGTTGCATGCTTGTCTAATTATTCCCATCTTAAAACACACCCAGTATAAATGGAGACATGGCAGGTGCTTCTCTGTTGGCAACAGACTGAAGTAGGAAAAAGATCAGACAGTTGATAGGTGCTCAAAAAGGAGAGAGCTTTCTCCTGTTCAGGGACTGTCATACCCAGCACTGGCATGTTGTAAGGAGGTGATCCTGTTACAGGTGCAGCGAGGATATGTGTTTTTCCAGGAGTTGGCATAATAATCTATTGTACACCAAGTCATATCTCACTGTCGTGTGATGCGTGATGTGTGTGTAACTCGAATGAGGGTATTGATTTGTAGGCGGCCATGGGGTGCCTCAGAGGTGAAAGCAGAGTTATAATGGAAGTAGCTGATGAGAACGCAAACTACTTCACTTGAACTTAACACTTGAACAGTTTTATCACCTCTGTAGAACTGTTTCTCACATTACTCCAATAGAAAACTTTGAAAAGTGTGTGGGAAGTGAGTACGAAAATGTTATGTGAGAAAAGAATTGGAACTTGTATTTTTCAGTTTTAAAATGTTCGCTTTTTTTTTTTTTTGTTTACACTGGCATCAACTTGATGTATTGACTGGTGGAAATACAGAAGTGGCAAGACTAAGCCAGCTTGTCCAGTTTTTTTAACCATTTCATTTTTCAGGTGGATAGAAACAAACATATTTAAAGCAAGTAGAAAATTATTTCTTGTTCTTCATCTTTATGCTTTACATGTGGAATTTTGTGGTACCATGACCAGTTTTTTTTCTGACAGTATGTAACTACTGAGTTTTGTTATCCATCGTGCAATTGCGCTGTCTCAAGAGAAATAGCTGTTAGTAGTGGGGTCTGTTTTCAGGAAGGAGAGGTGGTAGTGCTGAAAAGAAATGCATGAAGGTAGGAGATTCTTAAGTCTTTCTAAATGGCAATTACTTTTTTAATTCGTAGAGGATTTCAAAAGGTACTTCTGTAGATAAGAAGTGTCTTCTCAGGCCAAACTCTTAACCAGTGAGTTCTAATGTGCAAGTTGAACATTAAACTATGGTGTATTTCGTTTCATGTAAGTAATTGTCTGGAATTAGCGCTGTCTGCCCTTGTCAGAAGGGGACTACCTGACCTTCTTTCACCATACTTGGTGTTGCAAGCACCTGCTCTCCAAATTATTGAGATTAAAGCAAACTGGCTATAGCTGGATTGCTGACAGTGAAGAAACATGATACATCTTTTTCCCACCAGAATCGTAATGACTCATGTTTTCCTTCTGGTCTTTAGCATATTCTTGGTTTATTTTATTTGGCCAAACTCAGTGAATAATTTTTTCTCTTTAACCATTTTTCTGTGCGGGCTGAACACCACTAAAAAGGTGATGGTGTAGATCACTGCTTCAGGCATATTTCATATTCTCTCATATTTCACAGGAGCTGTGCCTGCCAAGTACTGCACCATCCTTAGATTATTTTTTCTTCTTTTAGATCTCATGAAAGCAGAATGCTTAAGTTGTCAGTATTATCTTCTTAACTGAGACACAAATTACCTTCCTCCTGAAGATTGCATGTAATCTGTAACCAAAAGCCAGAGGAATTGCAAGCTGGCATCTTTTTTATTCTTATTTTATTTTTTTATTTGTTTTGATAAATCTTCGCTTGGACACTGAGGATTTAGGGACTCCCTTTGTCCTTGTTCAGAGTTGATCTGTGTGTTGCCACTTAACTCCTGTACCCACCGATTTCTGAAACCAAAAGCTGTCTGTGAGTTTCCGCTGCTAGGCAGTGCAGGGCTCTCTGACGCAGGCACTGGGGAGGGACAAGTCTGTCAGGATGTGTCATAAAATTTGTTTGGTGTTTCTTTGTCACTCCAGGTACAAGTTGAACACTTCCGTGCAGAGGAGTTGACAACGTGTGCTGCGATAACCAGTCCTAAAGTTGTCCCCTTGTATGGAGCTGTGAAGGAAGGACCTTGGGTGACCATCTTCATGAAGCTGATGGAGGGTGAGAAAGGAACAGCGATAGTGGGAGCATCACTGTAGCTGTCAAATGCAGGGGACATTGATCTTCTCTTCCTCCTGCCCCAATTTTAAATTCTGTTAATTCTCCGGTGTATCTAAGTGTTCCTAGCATTAACTCCTGAGTGGGTTGGGATAGGTTTCTTTTACGCCTGCTGGTGTCTTTTTTTGGGGGGAGTCATTTCTAGTCCAGCCCCTCTTCCTTTCAAGATGCGTATCTCTCAAACACCAGCTGTAAATTCTCACTAAACCACATAGTTGGTGCTGTTTTTTGCTTTCACTTTTATTTGCATGGCACCATGTAAAGCACGTTGGACTAGAACAGGAGATGCTCTATAAGCAAATATAGATGGTTCCCTGTTGCCCAAGGCTTCTTTTTCCAGCCATGCCCATGGAAAGCACAGCCTGTGAAGGACGGCTGATGATCAGGAGCATCTAGAAGTGTCTGATCACAGAGTAGTTGATTTTAACACGAAGCACTACTGTTAAACTGATGCTAAGCAAAGGGATTCATGAAAGAGGCTGGTATCCACAGGCAGTAAGACCTCTGGGTATGAACAAAAGGAATAAACCCATGTGTGTAAGACGAGGGCTGTCAGGCCTGGCAGTTTTCATTTCTCCATCAGAAACAAGGAACGTTGATGATGCTGTGAAGTTCTTAACAGATACGGACTCTCTGGATTCCTTTCTAGGTGGCTCACTAGGTCAGCTAATTAAGCAGAATGGCTGCCTGCCGGAGGACAGAGCCCTCAGTTATTTGGGCCAAGCATTAGAAGGCTTGGAGTATCTTCATGCTCAGAACATTCTCCATGGAGATGTAAAAGGTAGGATGCTATTTAAGGTATCTTGTTCTTCCCTTTTTCTTACAAGGCGCAAAGGGCTTGGAAATTGAGTTACTGTGAGTGTCTGAAGTTTATTTACTACATTTTCAGCTCTGCAGTTTGAGATTGGAGCTTAACTTAGTTCTATACCCAGCTGGGCATATCACTATATTGTGATATTTGTCACCTCTTTCTGTTGTCCAGTTGCTCTGACAGGCTGTTTGCCCAGGCCACTTCATCAGTGGGATAGAGGATAACTGGGATAATTACAGTGCTTGAGCCAGTGACACTCCATAGGAATAACAGACCTTGGTTTGGGCTCAAAAAAGTAGCTCTGTGGGCTTTAGGCTTTGTATTGTAGGCCACTCAGAGGAGGAAAAAAAAAAAAGGGAACTGACCAGTTAAAAACCTCTCGTTGGCAGCGGAAAATGTGCTTTTGTCTGATGATGGAAGCAGGGCTCTTCTGTGTGATTTTGGTCACTCTGCTCACCTTCATCCAGATGGCTTGGGAAAGTGCTTGGTCACAGGTAAGGTTTTTCTGGTGTGATTCTAAAGAATTGCCCTGCTGACTCATTCTTTCTTTTTGAGCATTCATGCTTGGCTAATCTGCAGGCAACCGTATTTTCCAGACTTAACATTTACTGACTCTACTGTGAAGTATGTCACTGACAGCTAAAAGGAATTTAGGTTTGGAATTCAGTCCTTCAAGTCTAGAAGGTTGTTGTGTTTATGTTGTTGTTAGTATTATATTTTTATTGAAAATTAAGTCAACCTACCCCATTCAGCATTTTGTCCCTGCTGGACATCACATCCAAACTTACATGGCAAGTCAGAGTTAGATTTTTAACTTCATTAAACAGCTGGGGAAGAATCCTGACCTCCACCAAAGGAAAAAATAATTGCTGACTTCTGGCAGTGAAACTTTACTTTGCTTCTTAATGCATCTGTTGGAAGAGATGGATTTATTTTCTAATGCTGAGTTCACCAATGGCATTTGCCTCCCAAAAATGCTAGGAAGGGAAGTTTAATACATACATCTGCGTATAAGGGATGAGACTAATGGGGGCATGTAGCTCTTGAACAGCTGACAGGGGCACATGATGCTGCTTTTTGGGTGAAGCTGACTTGTTTCTCACTTTAACTGAAAAGACAAGGAGGCTGCCTTAGGCTTCCCAGCAGTTGCACTGGAACAATTGTCTAGTTTACGTGCAGTGAATTTTCATTTAAATGGTTTTAGGGAACTATGTGCCTGGCACAGAAACTCACATGGCTCCAGAGGTGGTCATGGGAAAACGCTGCGACTCCAAAGTGGATGTCTGGAGCAGTTGCTGTATGATGCTGCACATGCTTAATGGGTGTCACCCTTGGACCCAATATTACAATCATCCTCTCTGTCTGAAAGTAAGTAATTCAAAATATGTCAAGTAAAAGGTACTTAGGCCTGTAAAATCCCATTACACTTAACTAAACAGCAGTCATTTTAGGAAGTCTCTCTGAGAGACAGTTCTAAGATGATGCCAACCTTGCTATGGCAGTTAATAATTTCTTACTCCATTTAGACTGTTGCATATTATACATTCTAGAGCTCTTTCTTTCCTATTCTGCTCATGACTTCGGTGTGAATTTTGAGTCATTCTACTGTAAAAAAAATAAATAAATAAATATACTGCTCAGGCCTCTCATGCAATGGTAATTTCAGTTGGAAGCTCTCTGAGGATGGGAAGAACCTTTCTGAAATCAAATGAAGCCTCTCCGGTCTAGCCTCTTTCACTTCCTGTTTGTTTCACAGATAGCTAAAGAGCCACCTCCTCTGAGGGAAATTCCACCTTCCTGCAACCCTCTCACTGCTGAAATTATTAAAATGGGTCTGGAGAAAGAGCCTGTTCAGCGAGCATCTGCATCTGAACTGAAAACCAAGACCAGTGTTGCACTTGAAGAAGGTAGAAATGTCCCAATATATAAAGCTTCTTTCACGTGCTGGTAAACTGACCAGTTGTGTTAGAGTGGTCCTGTAGGGACATATCAGTGTGTTTTACCAATGTATTCTGCTGTCTGTTCAACATATCACTTGCACAGGCTTCAGCACTGATGTACATTTTGGGGTTGATAGCTTTTGCCCACATCCCTTTCTTTGAATTTACCCTGAAGCGACTTCTTTATGTTTCTCACCCAAATAAATTATTTCCTGTGTGCTGTCACATGCTCCTTCTTCCTTCTCTACTTGAAGCAGATGATGTTGTGCTTTACATGGGCTTTACAAGGTGTGTGCTGTGGCTTGGCTTGTGCTCAGCTGATGTATCAAATGCATCTAGTGTGCTGGAGCCTGATATGCAGCAAAACTGAAAGCAGAGGTTTATTGCATCCTCAGCTGTAACTTATAGTTGTGATCTGGTCTTCCCTCTAAGACTATCCATGATTTATTTCAACTTAATCCTCCTGAAAAGCTCTGTGATACAGTAAGAACTTGTGGAGATGATCTGGCTCTGTTTGCTGAAGAAGCTAAATTTCACATTTCACAGCATTTCACGGCAAGATACAGTTCTGAAACTTGTATTGTGAAGGAAAACCTTTACCTCTTTTCTCTGTATGACAATGTTTGTGTTCTCTGTTTTTGTAGTGGGAGGTGTGACAAGCCCCTGGAAAGGCGAATACAGAGAGCCTAGACATCTATCTCTGAACAAAGAAAACAATCCACAGACATCCCTGTCCCCCACAGTGAGCCCAGTGTCTGAGACTCATTCTGACCCAAAATTGGCAGACAAAGTTTCTTGTGTAAGCCCAGTCTTACCACCACCACCACCTCTGGAACAAACAGAAGAGGTTGAGGGAACCCCTTGGAACGTGTGCAAGGAGTTATCTGGGATCTGGGATCCACCACCTCTCTCCTCGACTCCTCTCCCCCTGAAGAGCTGCAGCCATGTGGAGAAAGCAACAACCATTTCAGAACAAGAGCTTCAGCAGCTGGAAATAGGTAAGTGATGAGATACGTAGGGAATTCAGCTTTTTGCTTAAGAACATGATAAAAACACAGCTGCTTTATTTTGGCCTTTTGGCAGTTATTTTATTTCTTTGGGAATGTCATTTTGTTCATAGTGCATCTCTTGTTATACGAATGGTTTGCCCTTCCTTGAAATTATCAAAACTAGTAGCTCTTAAGCAACTAAACATGCCATGAAGGTAGTGGTCAGGATTTCCTTCCACTGTCTGACCTGTGTAGTGAACTTCTGTGGGAGGTGTGGGAACCTCTCAAAAAGCAGCCAGTTTTCAGATGTGTGCTTATGCGCACTGTATAAACAGTCTCTGCAGTTCTAGCTTCAGATGAAGGTTTGAATACTTCAAAAATAATTCTTTTAATAAAGGGATAAGCCTTTTGAATGGGAGACTTCAAACAAAGCAGTGTAGTTGAAGTCAGTCTATGGCATTGGAAAAGCTATACCCACCAGCCAACAATACAGAATCTGAAAACATGAGATTAAGTTCAGAGTGAAAAATCAGTGAAGTAATAGTCCAGTTCCATTACCTCAACCTTTCAATTGTTTATCCCATATTTTCTTGTCTTCATAACTGAATTGAAAAGTTCAAGCTAGAAAAAAAGTGTCTTGAAATGTAACTTGTCAGAGAACTGAGGAATATCATTGTAGGAGTTGCTGAGGGCTGTCTTTTTTCTCAAATGGCTTTGGACCTCCATCATCCTTGTCAGGTCTGGATATCATCAACACAAGTTAGTGCAAGAGCAGAGTACCTCAGATTGTCCCTTTCCTTGGTATGATGCAGATGGTGTAGAGTGCAGACTGACAGGTGGCACAGTAGGCAAGAACTGGGAACTCCTGGGTGCAAGCCCTTTCTGACTTTTTGCATGTCACTGCACGACTCCTCTGTCCTTTCTGGCTCAGTTTCCCTATTTTCCCCGTGGTAGCAATACCAGAGGAATTATGTGTCAGGTAGTTTATAGACACCAGTGTCAGTGGTCATTATCTAACACTGAAGATTATTAAGATTATTAAGAGTATTAATTGTTATAACTGGGATTGGAGCAGGAACTCACAAAAGGAATCACTTTAAATGTTTTCCTTCCCTTTCTTTCTGCTTGCAGAACTGTTTTTGAACAGCCTTTCACAGCCTTACTCGCTGGAAGAGCAAGAACAAATGCTTTCATGTCTCAGCATCGACAGCCCATTTGTGTCAGATGCCAGTGAGAAGGTGAATATACGTGGATGCTCGTTGTGTTACTGGGGGTGTGGAGGGGTCACAGGGTAACCGCCTCTGGAAGCTGTGACCAGTGAACATCTGGAGCTTTTCACATTTCTTGTTGCTTTTGACATCTGTTTTTCTGCAGCATACTGGAGGGATGAAACTTTGTTCTTAGGCAATGGGGTTTAGTTGTTTAGGATTTTAGTTGTTTTTCAGTTTGTTGTCCCACGATGATCCCTTTCTTCCAGTTGCTCTTCTGGGCTGTGTTTTCACAGTAAGCATCAAGTGTGTGGATCTGGAAAACATCAGTGGCCTTGATCCTATTCATGTAGAATCAAGGAACTGAAGAAGTAGGGGTGAGCGAGCATAGGAACTGTACTGAGTTGGACCCGATGGCCAAGGATCTTCTTCCTGGCCACTGGAGGGATGTTTAGGGATGGAGCAGAAGAATGGGGCAGAACAGTAACCCTTCTCCCGGATATTCACTCCCAGCCTATGGATCTGATCTCCACAAATCTGTTTTAACCTACTCATACTAATGACCTGTATATTATTTAAACACTAGGTTTAATTAATCGGTTGCTTTAACTCCGTTATTCATAAGGTAGGGAATACCAGTTAAAAACAAACAAAAACAACAACACAGAATAAGCCTTGTTGTACCAGGAAGGATGTAATTTAATTGTAAGCCTTCAATCATTGCTTTCAGACAGGGAGTCCAAAATGGTGTAGCCTGCCATCTGCAGGAGTCATTTTTGAACATGATCATCTTTGCTTCCTATTTCTGTTCCTCTTCTCAGTATTGTAGTGCTTTCTGAGGAGAGTTGAGCACAGTTCTTTGCAGTAGTTCAGATGTTGATACAACATGGGATGTGACTCTGCTTTTTTCTCTATTTCTTTTGCCTAGCTCATAACCCTAACAACTGATGTGACTTTTGATGGGTCTTTACCCATAAGCTGTTGCTGTCAGGTTGACCTCCCATGACTCTAAGATAACAGAGACTTTTCCAACAAGCACAACAATGCAGTTGTTTATGTAGAGTTACTGTTTTTTCCTGTGCATTGTCACTTAACAACATTAGATTTATCTGATGCTTTATTCTTCTGTCAGTATGATGAAACCCTTTTTTTCTTTTCATCCAACTCTTCAGCTGATTACTGATTTGATTATTGAGAATAGCTTTCTGTGTCTGCAAACTGTTGCATTGTTATACATCCCCTTTTCTAGATGTCGGGTAAATGCTGAGTAAGTCAAGGCCCAATTGCACATCCCTGTGGATTATTTTTTTTCCCTTGAGGTTATTTTCATGTTTGGCATCTCGTGGAAGCTCATGTTCTTTAGGAGCATTTGACAGACTTGTGCTTACTTCTGCAGAACTCCATGAAGGCTTCGCATAGCTTGAGGGACACTATGAGCTCAGGGATTCATTCCTGGAACAGCCAGACAGATGGACAGAGCTTCAGCTTTAACAACCTACTGAATCGCAGCCGTCACACGGACACTCCTAGCTATTTCAATGGTGAGTCCATCTTTGTGAAGTCTAGATAAATGATTGGGTACAGCTTTCTCAGTATCTAGCAGATCTGGGGTATGGAGTCTTTGAATTCTTCATACCCTTCAGTTCCTGTGTCAGCACAGACTCTCCTGAAAGCATATGGGCTGTCAAGAGACCAAGTCTGCTCCAGTCATAGGTGGGTGGAAGTCAAGTCTGTATAATCCAATAAAAGCCAAAGAAGCTCCTGAACCCACGGAGTCTGATTCAGCTTTATGCCTCGCCTTGTGCAGCTGCCATGTGCAAGACTATATGCCTTATAACCATAAATTTCTACAGAGTAATTTTGAGGGCATGTTGTACAAATCAGTATGTCTCTTCAGCTGCTTTCTTGCTAAATCCAGCTCTGCTCTGTGAGTCATTGTTTTCTTCAGCAATCCTGTGTGCCCTGCCAAGACCTACATAAATGAAATACTTGATGATAAAAAAAAAAACAACAACAACATAAAACACTGGTCTTTTGATGCCTGTGTATTGATAGTCAATTCTCCAATGTGGGACTGTGAAGTTGTTATGCGTACAGCAGAAGTTAATGACTTCTCTTTCACATTTCAGGAGTGAAAATCCAGGTCCAGTTGCTAAGCGGAGAAAATTTACACATCAGGGATTTCCAGAGAACAAAGGTGGGAGACATTGCCACTGGGATAAGCAGCCAGGTAAGACACAAAGCTGGGAGTTGTTTAAGTACGGCATTTTGTCTAAATAATTTCTTCTATCATGCAGCCTCATCCTTCCTTAAAATCAGCGAACCAGAAGTCCGTTCAGGGACCCTAATGATGTGTTTAGTTACATAACTTGAGTGCTGTTGTTGTAAGTGTGGTACCAGAAGATACTTTATGAACTACAAACCATTGGAAATCATCATAGGTATCATAGTTCATAGAATCATAGACTGGTTTGGGTTGGAAGGGACCTTAGAGATCATCTCATTCCAATCCCTGCCATGGGCACGGACACCTCCCACCAGCCCATGTTGCCCCCAGCCCCATCCAGTCTGACCTTGAACACCTCCAGGGATGGGGCATCCACACCTTCCCTGGGCAACCTGTTCCAGTGCCTCTGGGTAAAGTAATTCATCCTAATAACTTATCTAAATCTCCCTTCTTTTGGTTTAAAACAATTCCCCGTTGTCCTATCACTCTCTGCCCATGTAAAAAGTCGCTCTAAGGCTGCAATGCAGTCTCCCTGGAGCCTCCTCTTCTCCACGCTGAACAACAGCAGATCTCTCAGTATTTCTTCATATCTGAGGTGCTCCAGCCTCTGAGCATCCCTCATGGCCTCCTCTACACCCTCCTCTAACAGTTCCACATCCTTGTTGTGCTGGGGGCCCCAGACCTGGATGCAGCACTCCAAGGGCAGAGCAGAGGGGGACAGTCCCCTCCATCCCATGCTGGATGTCCAGGATGCAGTTGGCTTATAGTTGTTGAGCTCCATCTTAAAAAGTACCTGTGCTCCAGTTTAAAAATCCTTCTCTTTGACTAGAAAGATAACTTCTTTCCCCTCTGCCTATAGAAGAATCACTCTGACCTTTTCTTCAGGAGCAGTAATACCAGCTAAGGGAAACAGGCTGTGTTTGGCTGTGATGCTTCCTGCTTGTTAATGTGGAGGAGATACTGGCAGACTCCAGGGAACCCCACTATGGGCCTTTTTGGCTGGCCCTGAAAGAGACTCTGAGTGTCTGTGGGACCAAGACTCATCCAAGTGTAAAATGTGATCATCTCTAAACAAAGAGGTTGCAGACGTCCAGAATGTGTTTCACTGCTGTTGGTTCTCTTTGGAGTACATCATTCTTGTGGACATCACAAAGCAAAAGGTTGCCAAGTGCAGCCTGTTCAGAAAACACCTGCAATGGCCAACGACCTCAAGGAGGCAAGTTAGCAGCAGGTTGAATGCTATTAGTCCAGTTACTGAGATACTTTCTAATGAGATAATCTATTTCAGGATCTTTCTGCCAGTCACAAGCTTCTCTCCTGCAGCTTTTCTTGAGTGGTGATGTTATTTGCCAATCAACCTGGGTTAGTTAATGGGTTGTTATGCTCTGAAAGAGGCTTGAAGTGGCATTCAGATTAATTTGTTCTGCTTCACAGGTACGGGTCCCTGCCTTCAGTCTGGTTACCAAAGAAGGCCAGCCAGTGCACTACGACATGGAGGTCCCCGACTCCGGTATTGAGCTGCAGTGCACCCTTGCCCCTGACTGCAGTGTCAGCTGGACGTGGAGAGTCAAACACGGTCAACTGGAGAACAGGCCGTGAGGCTGCTTCTGCAGTGGAGGTTTTTACCTTGTTGAAATATGGAATTGCAAAAGCTTCCAGCCACCCCTGCCATCAAGCACCACGCACAGTTGCTGGTGTTTTGTGCTGAAGTAGGATAGCAGTTCAGCAGTTCACTGCTCTCGGGCCTCACTTCTGTTGTCTGCTCTGATCCAGTTCCAAGACATGTCCTGAAGCTTAAATGTTCCCCAGAACAGTGGGAATTACTTGTTTTGGGTGTGTGAGATTGAGCTTGAGAATGGTACACGAAAATTCCTGCTTTTCAGAGGAATGTGATTGTGCTTTTCAGGAGCATATGGGGATTGGATGAGAGCTCCCGTTGCTCAGCCTCTGAGGTGAAGCTGGTAGTTCCTGGGCTTGCTCAAAGGAGGTGGAGGTTGAGTATCTTCAGTGCAGCTGTGGTTGTTTGTGCTGAGGGGAGCTGGCTAACTTCCTTCTAGCTGGAGGAAAAACTTAATGTTTCTGTAGGCTTTGGGTAGCATCATCTCTACCTCAAGCCTTCTACATGGGGAAAATCGACAGCAGTAACTAGCTGGGTGCTTGGTTTCACCTCCCACCCTTCCCCGCAGACACTTCCTTCTTGAATCAGAAAAGAACTTTGTTCCCAGAAAGAGCTTTGCTTGCAGCTCTCATCTTCTGAATCTCCTCCCTGACATAGGAGCTGGTGCTTCCCACTCTGTTGTTGCTACCAACGAAGGGAGTACATGGTGGGGCAGGAGGAACGAGTTCCGTGGTGGGCAGGGTTGTGCTCCTCAGCCCCGTTGCCACCGCTGCTGCTGCTGACTTGCTGCAACTTCACAGGAGCTGTCCTTGTCCGCACAGCTCCCCCTGGAGGGGGCAGGACAGCAGCTCCATCAGCTCAGGCAAAGTCTGAATTCTGCTGCAGAACTGTTTTCTTAGATCCCACTCCCAGCTCTCAGTCCTGCCAGCCGCTCAGCCCCTCCGCTGGAGATGAGTGCCCCATGTGCTGCGTGGCGTTAGCTCAGCCCAGTCTGCACCAGCACCTAAAGGCTGGTACCAGGCTCTGTATCCCTCCCCTCACATCAAAACATGTTAATAGAGCGGGACGGGCAGCTGGGCCCACAATGCCTTAATCATTGCTGAACTTCTTTTTGGTGATTATTTTTTTGTAAAGTATACAGAAACTGTATGTGTCCAGTTCAGACGGGCGGGTGTTGCCAGCCCTTCTGTAACCCAGAACAAAACCAGAGGGAGGCGTAAGGTACTTGGGTGCACTCGTTCAGGGCTGCTCAAAGTCCTTGTGTGTCTGCAAACAGCAAACCGATTTGCTGGTGTGCTGTGCCTCTTCCAGAATGCTGGAACCACAGCGGCCGCAGAGCCGGGGCTGCTGACACCCAGGCTGAAGAGAGGAGCAGCTCCCAGGGAGCAAGGTCAGCCGTGCCGGATCCAGGCTGCTGCTGGGAGATGCAGCGAGGCAGGAATGTCTGCAGGTTTCTCAAGTGAAGTTCACTCAAAATAGCTGGGAAAAGTTAAGCTCTGGACCTCCCATTCTGAGGACCAGTGACCTGCAATTGATGCTCTTTCCCTTTGGTCTCCCAGAATATTGGCTGGTTTTGCTACGATAGGTGTTGACATCCTTAACCAGGAAACTGAAGTTATCATGCAGTAGAAAAGTGGAACTCTTGAAGAAGTTAAACCTGTCACCACTGTGCGTATAGTCTCTTATAGCACTTTTTTGTTCTAAAGCACTTAATGAATTGTCCAAAATAAGTATATCTGAAATGCAGCCACATTAAGAGTCTTTTTAGTAAACAGTTAAAACATTATGCACACCTTTTCCAGGCAGGAGTGGGGAGGAATAGGGAAGTCGGCACAATTTTTGTCAGATGCCATAAGCTACTACAAGTTCTAGGCTCTGGAGCAACAGGGATCGAGATGCCTTGCAGAATTCCCAGGAGCTCCCAAGCAGGTGTTGAGTGCAGAAACCAAACTTCCTGCACTTGGCACCCTCCTCGGGCTTCCTCTGAGGGGGAGAGGAGAAAAACCTGTTGGCTGCTTCTAAGAAGAGTCTGTCATAATAACTGTTGGTGACGTGTCAGTGCAAAAGAATAGTCTGTTCCCTTCCTGAAGGCTGCACCTCACGGCTTTCACTGTCGTCCGCAAAGTGCCTCAATGTTCAGGTGTGCGTTTTTGTACGTTGGTGTTAGACCCGAGTTCTGCCAAGCAGTAGGACAGGGTACAGCAGTCCTCTGCTTGCGGGACCTGTGAGCTTTACACTTCATCTATAGCATTAACGCTAGTCTTGGGCCACCTGAGTGGGTGGGTAAAAGGCAGGAACCCTTGTGAAGCCAGAAAGTCTTTGCTGGGTAGGTGGAGATGTTTACGTTCTCCTGCGCTCTCACACCAGCATTAGCCAGTATCTCCATTCTGTTCAGTTTGTCCAAAAACTTCCATCCTATTTTGCTGCCACCTCAAGCAAGAAGGTGAGGCTGCAGACCTCCACGTAACAACCATTTGCAGGGCAGCTGCTCAGAGGAGCAGGCTGGGGCGTCAGCTCTCCCTGCCGCGTGGGAAAGACGCTCCGGCTGATACCACAAACCATTGGTGCTTTTACTGTCCTGAAATGTGGTTCTGCTCTCGGAAGTATCTCCAGGGTTTTAATGTTTTTGCCACCTACCAACTTGGGATCTCAGCTCTCTCCTGCTGCTGGGACAGTTTCCTGTTAATTTGGCTGGTTGTTTTTGCTGTGACAGGCAGAAAAAAGCCCAGCTTCCAGAAAGGCTGGCTGTGCAATACCAACAGGCAAGAAAGTCAGGAAAGTTTTTTTGTTATCCCTGTTAACATTTGTCTTAAATTGTGTGTAATAACATAATTAGGCTTTAGGACTGAATCCCAGTACAGGTTTGGGAGGGAGGACAAATAGTAATAAACACAGATGGCTCTTGTCATATAGCACCTTCCTTAAGGTCTTTGGGAGAAAAATCACCTTTGGCAAAGCAATACAAAGCTTTGGGATGGGCAGTACAGGCATGGGTGAAGGTGATGGAATGACTAGCTGGTATTGAATGAATGACACTTTATAAAACTGTGATTTCTTGAAATTAACATTTCAACCTGTATTTTCACAGAAAAAAAATAAAAGCTGGAAAAAAAGGATTCTTTGTTTTCATGGTCAGGGGTTTGATATGTTGTACCAGAGAACACGAAGACTACTGAGTGTGGCATTTTTTTAAGAGGAGCCTGGTTTGGGTAACTTTCACCCTAGATTTTGGGGGGATGCAGGGAAGAGTCCTTTGTGGGTGTGAAGAGGCAGCAGTACCTTTGGCAGATCTGAGCACAGCATTTGCTGAATGTGTTGATGCTGCTCTGTTTCCCAGTTAAGCACATCGTCCCCTTTCCTCCTCCTGTTCCAGTTCTACGTCCTTGGCTCCATGCCCAAGCTCCCTGGTGGTTACAGGGCTGCCATGAGGCTTCCCAGCATGTTCTCAGCCATCTCGCTAGCTGGCATGCACCTAACTTTGGATCGAGGCTTTCCTGTCTGAGAAAACAGGCTGATTTGCAAAAACTGTGGCTATTTGTGTCAAATGAATGTGTCCCTGCACCACACTGAAGCTTTGTCAGTGAAATGATGCCCCCCTCATTTCCAGCTATCCCGAGTGCATCTCCTGTGCTGTTTTGACAAGGCCCAGGTTCAACTGATCAAGGGAAAGCAGAGAGCACTGCTCGCTGTTGCTTTATGTTCCAGGCAGGGGCTTTTGCTGTACAGGGGCTGACATCTTCCCATCAAGAGTGAGAGAAATCACTCCAGGATCCTGAGGAATTGAGGTTAAGCAGACAATGCCGGAGGTTCACCCACACCGCTCAGCATGGGCTTCAGCTCCCTCTTGGTGCAGAAGCTGCCTCCACTTGCACGGTGCCTTTCTGTCAATGCGACGGACTGGAGGTGTGCTCACGGCCACGTCAGTGAGCGCATGAGATCAGCTACCTGAAATGGAAAACCCAAATTCCAGCCAACGGGTGGGGAGGCTGAGTTTTGCTATCATGTACCTGTTTGTACAGGGAACCAGAAGTCAGATCAGCTGTCCACAAAAAAAAATAAAATAAAATAAAATAAAAGTGCGTTGATTGCATTTGGGATTTCCTAGACTTCCCTGTAAAGACATGGGTCAGCTTTGGGAAGCAGCCCTTGTCTCTGAGGACAGCCCAGCTGAGAAGCCAGGTTGTGCCCTGGTGCAGGACTGAGCCTCGCCCAGGGCTGGCTGCAGCTCCGTGCTGGGGTTGGCGGGGGCAGCGGGTGCCTTCCCGAGCATCCTGGTGACAATGCGCACGTGCTCATGTGGGTGCCAGGGCCTGACAGCCGCCTCCTCGAGGACAACGCAGTTAAAGATGGGGGACTGTGCCTCTGAAGTGTCGCAAGGCCTGGCTTGCCCTTCCTGTTGTCCCCTGGCACTTACTTTCTCGTGTTTTCATCCACTAAATCGCCCCTGCTGCCAGTCCTGCGGGCATGGGCAAGTCAGAAATGCATCTTCCACTCGCAGCAGTTCAAAGGAGCGGGGCCGCCACTCCCAGCAGCAGTTCCTTGTGCAGTTCATGTCTCAGTGTTAGTAAAGCAGCAAGTGGCAGCTGCTGCATCCAGCCCGCGAAGGCAGGAGGTAGCCTGGGCGGCCTCAGACACTGGGACTTGCTCAGCACCGGCCCACACGCAGAGCTCGCCCCCACTCACAGACACGGGCTTTATCCATAGAGTTGGTTTATTACCAGTTCTGCTTTGGATTAAACAGGCCCTCAGTATATAAAAATAATGTATACAAATTAGCAGTTAATGTTTTACATTTCTGGCTTAAAGGCATTTATAAGTTACACATTCATTTCCCTTCCCTCCCTTTGAGCTTGGCGCGATACTGAGCCGGTGGCGCTTGGCATCGTAATTACAGCAGGAAGCAGTCGCTGCTCTGGCTTGGAACGAGGACTGACCCTGGTCTAAAAGCTGGGGCAAGCGAGAATGTACACGGCAACCACGAGTCCTCGCAGCAGGGCAAGCAGGGGGCGTTGGTGACAAAATCAATGCATTAACGGGTTAACTGCAGCAGTGCACGGCTCTGGCTGATCGGCAGCAGGGTGGGGAGGAATAAAGGCCGGTGCTTCAGTCGCTATTTGTAGGCTGATGCAGCTCTCTGGCTACATCCAAGCCCACCCCTTTTCTGTCCTCCTTTTCCTGCACGAGTTCAGCTGTGACCCTGCACTGTTTGGGGATATCGCGGTGTTTGCTGCAAGGGCTGGAGGCTGCCTAGCACCTGCTGCGGGTTGCATCGTGCAACTGCTGGCAAACGGGAGCAGCCTCGTGGTCCCCGCGGGCCGATGGGCACCGGTGTCTGAGAGGCTGCAGCCCCAAGAGCAGAGGTGGGTGCTGGGGAGGCAGGAGGGTGAGGCCAGGTACCACCACGTAGCGATGCGAGGATGGTGAATCCTTGATCCTGCTGATTGTCATAGACCAGCACTGCTCGCCCCAGCCTTAGGCTCCTGGTGAGACCCTGTGGAACCCATGGGTGTCCCAGCCCCTGCTCCCATAGCACAGAGATTTTTTTTAAAGGAAGACATAGAAAATGACTGTAAAATAGCACCCCTGCCAGCTCCTGGGGTACGTGAAGTGCCCAGGGTGGGATCTTTGCAGCAGGCTCCTTGCTGGAGAGGAGGCAAAGCCCGTGCCCGCCCCGCTCTGCAGCAGAGGAGAGCACGGCCTCGAAGGGCTCTGCACAGACGGGAGATGTGGGAGAAGCACCAGGAGCACTGTGGCCCCGGCTGCCAATCCTCTGCCCCTCCTGCAGTGGGAGATCGAAGGCACCAGCAAGCTGAGGAGAGGGGCGCACCGGTGTGCAGGGCTGCCCCGGACAGCAGGAGGGCAGCGCAGCAGCCCTGGGAAGGGGCAGGGCAGCCCCTTTCCCTATCAGGACAAGGTGGGGGGGCTTCCTGTAGCTCCCCCCGTCCCTGCCAGCTCGGAGGAGAGGAGCTCAGTGTTATCGCTAAGCAATTGCTGGGGGAGCCCTGCGTCAGACCCATGGGCACGCAGGGCAGGGGCAGCAGGGTGGGCTGGCACACGAAGCAGCTTGAGCAGCGAGGAGTGGGCACCGTCCCCCCACCGCGGGTCGGCCCAGGCCGGTGGGCTGATGCCCCGCAGTCCCATCTGCTTGTGCAGGACAGGCCTGCCCTGCTCACAGCGAGATGTCCGGCGTCGCCTGCAGGCTCTGCCCCACGGCCCGTTTCTTGGCGCTGCCGCGGCCCTTGTCTGCGCGCCGGTAGGGGTTGTTCCGCAGATCTGAAAGGGGAGAAAGCACCGGCTCAGCAAGCCACCAGGCTGCCTGCCCCAGCAAAGCCTGCACCTACAGGCAGGACCCTTCCCTCGTCCCCACCACCGCCCAGGGTCAGCCCGTCGGGTATGGGGATGCTTGGGAGGAGCCTGACCAGCAGCACAGAGGCAGGAGGGAGGCAGCTGGGAAAAACTAGCCCGTGGGACCCGCTCCTGCAGCAATTCCAGTGCCCAGCCTTTTGCCGCAGCGCTGGGGCTGATGCTGGGGCGGCCCCGGGGGTGGCTTTCAGCACAGAGCTGGGCCCAGCCGATCGGCCATAGAGCCAGAATGGTGCTGGGCAGAGAAATGCAGGAGGAGAGCCAGCAGCCCCCCTGTGCCCCTCTGCCCACCCAGGCTGTGCCCATGCCCCCAGCCCGGCTGCCCCCCATTACCTACAGGCAGCCGCTACAGGGGACTCTCCTCGTTGAAGCTCGCATCGCAGAAGAGCCGGGACGAGCGCTTGCCCGTCCGGGCCGTGAAAGGAACAGTTTTCAGAGCTGAGCAAAGTGATCCAGAGAGACAGCGGAGAGGAGGAGAAGGGAGGAAGAAGCAGAAGAGGAGGAAGAGCTATGAGACAGGGCAGAGAGCGTTCGGCGGCTTTGCTGTGCAGACAGGGAGGTGCTGCGGGTGGCTCTGGGCTCCCCAGCAGGGCTTGGTGGCTCCCTGGCTCCGGGCTGTGACAGCTCTCAGAGCCCCCGCCAGGGAGGCTCTCCCAGCTGCACCCACGTGGCTGCAGCGCTGTCTGCGCCGAAACCCCGTGCAGGGGCAGCAGAACTGGGAGCCCAGCCCTGAATGTCCAACTCCCAGTAACCCAGCAGCTGCCCGGCCCTCACTGTCTGCGGATCTCTCCCAGCACTGTGCTCCCTCCCGGCCATCGCAGGGCTGTGTGCCAAGCCGTGGCACCCACCCAATGGACCTGCACCCCATGGGGACTCTGTTCTGGCACGGCCTGGCCAGGGACTCTGAGCGCCAAGCAGCAGGGGAGACCCTGCCCCTCACCTGAAATAATATCCTCGATGGCACCGTCTTTTCCTTCATAAATGAGCGGCTCCTTCACCATTTGCTTCTTCTTCAGCTCAGCGATCATATCCATCTGCTGCCGCCTGGCTTTCTGCATGGGTGACTGTGGTGGAGACAGAGCGGGGTGAACGGCACATCCCATCTGGAAAAGCTCCTTTGCCCTCCCCCAAATTCAGCCCGACGGAGGGCACAGTGACACCGAGCCAGGCTGCTGCCTCCTGGCCTCATCCAGGAGGAGCCGCAGGGCAGCAGGGTGGGATCTGCTGGGGAAGGGATGCTCAAGGGATGCACCAGCACAGGGAAGCGTCCCACATCGGGTACCTTCGTGTCGAGCTGGTCCTCGCTGCCGTTGGGGCTGGATTCTGCCTCTTTGGCTGCAGCCTCTTGTTTCTTCCACAGCTCGATGTCCTGCTCTGCTTTCTTGGGAGAGGTGCAGGGAAGGCACGCTGAGCTGCGGGGTTCTGCTGTGGTGCTGCAGGAACGCACCCGCCCCCCACCTTTCTGCTCCTCGGCAATCCCAAGGGGGCTCTGGCAGCCCCTGCCTCACCCCAACCCAGTGCCTGCACCGGCCCCAAAGGGCAGCTCTGTGTGCCAGGGTCTCTCTGTCCCACAGGCCCCCAACCTTGTGTGTGGCTGTGGCCAGTTACCCCAAAGTGGGGTCAGACTCCCCCCTAAAAACCAAGTCCCCTCCCAGCCCCCAGAACCAGGGCACCCCCGGCCCCCTACCTTGTAGGCTCTGATGAAGCGCATGAACATGGGGAAGAAGGTCGTGGGGGGACTGTTCTTGGGGTT